GTGACCTGTCTACTGTGTACTGTCTTCAGTGCATTGTCTACACTGTTCTATCTATAGTGTGCTGTCTACACTGTACTGGGTATAGTGTACTGTTCGGTGTAGTAGCTATAGCGTCCTGTCTATAGCGTACTGTCTACACTGTCCTCTCTATAGTGCAGTGTCTTAGCAATATGAGGACAGCACACACACAGCAGAAAGAAAGAAGAATCACACAATGCACTGGCTGGAGAAGCATGGGTGCTGCACGCTCTCCTGTGTACCTTCCTGTCTGCACTGCCCAGGGCCGTGGGGCAGAGAGGGGCTCAGCAGTTCGCAGTGCTGCCTGCGGGGGGCGCTCTATCGGGGGCTGGGCGTTCGCAGCCTCTTGGTGCGCTTGCTGACGGTGGTGAAGCGGAAGGGCTGGGGGTCGGGCTGCTCTCCCGAGGGGTACCGCTTCATGAAGTGGACGTCCTGCTGGTTGGGCAGAGTCTGGGGGCCCCGACGCGGGCGCCCCTTCTTCGTGAAGCCCACGTACCAGTCCTTGTACCTGGCCGACATCAGGGCAGTGTAGTTATTCTCCAGCACCTTCTCCACAAACACGCAGTCGTCACTCCTGTTGTTGGGCTTCTGGGGAGACAGACACACTGGTGGACACTGGTCTTCAGGTGTCACGCCTGAAGAACGCTCCACGGCCAAAACGTTGTGTTTTCTTTCTTCTCTTTTCAGCATGGAATAAACCTTTACTTCTTCCTTTGCACACCAATACACACTGAGATACACTGATACACACACTCAGAAATACACTAATAAACACATACTGATACACTGAGATACACACACTGATACATACTGATATATACACACTCAGATACACACTGATACACACTGTAACAGTAACACTCACATTGTAACAGTAACAAGCTCATACTGTGACAGTAATACACACACTGTGACAGTAACACACACACACTGTGATGGGAAAATACATACTCACACTGTGACAGTAACACTCACAAACTCACACTGTGACAGTAACACACAGACTGTGACTATAACACACACTGTGACTGTAACACACACTGTGACAGTAACACACATACTCACACTGTGACAGTAACACACAGACTGTGACTGTAACAATCACACTCATACTGTGACAGTAACACATTTTCACACTGTGACAGTAACACACTCACACTGTAACATAACAGACTCTGACAGTAACACATTCTCACACTGTGACAGTAACACTCACACACACACTCACTCTGTGACAGTAACACACATAATCACACTCTAAAAGTAACACACACACTGTGACAGTAACACACATTCTCACACTGTGACAGTAACACACACATTGTGACGGTAACACATACGCACTGTGACAGTAACACACCCTGTTTAGCCAGTTGTTTGTGTGTATATCTGGCTCTGGTTCGGGGGGTGACATGCTCACGATGGCTGACAGGGGGCGCTGCTGAGCAGGAAGCTACAGGCCCTGTGGCTGACCAGCGCCGTGCCCTCGGGCTGAGGCCAGGGACTGGGCTCAGAACCAGAACCAGCGCCAGGCCTCTCCCGTGCCTCACCTTGCCCACCAGCTTCCCGCGCCGGGTCATGCACAGGTAGAAGTTGGTCTCCTTGCCTCGGATTCGCACCTGACTCCCGAAGGTGTCGGCCTCCACTACGAGCTGGGCTTGTGAAGAGAGGGGGGGGGAGAGAGAGGGGCGTTAGAGGGCACTGGGCGCGAGATGGAGCTCAGCAGGACTGCAGGGGGCACTCTTGTGTTGTGTGTGTGTGTACCAGCGGATGGGGTACTGGTGTGTGTGTCCCAGTGGGCGAGGTAGTGTTGTGTGTTGTGTGTGTTTCTCAGTGGGGGAGGTAGTGTTGTATGTGTATCCCAGTGGGTGAGGTAGTGTTTTGTGTGTGTTCCAGTGGGTGAGGTAGTGTTGTTTGTGTTTTGTATGTGTCCCAGTGGGTGACCTAGTGTTGTTTGTGTTTGTGTGTGTTTCTCAGTGGGTGAGGTAGTGTTGTGTGTGTTTGTGTGTGTGTCCCAGTGGGTGAGGTAGTGTTGTGTGTGTCCAGAGAGGACAGGCTCAGTGACCACAGCCTGGCATTGAAACTGGACACAGACAGACCTGACTGTCCAGAGAGGACAGGCTCAGTGACCACAGCCTGG